TTGCTATAAAGAGGTAGTAAGTGCTGAAAGTGAGCTCCATCTACCTCCATGCAATAATGAATATTTTGTTCGAGTCTATTCCTTACATTTTCAAGCATGTCTTGAGTTATTTGTCTTCATTCAGCCGTAATCTGCTGACAAATATCTTAAATGGAATCTGGCTTCGTAATAAAAACTTAACTTTCCTAATGCTCCCAAAGAAAGTAATCTAAAATAAAAGACTTAGGTCCGGAGATCTCGGCAGCCACTCGATAAAGCCTCGTCTGCTGATTCGTCATACTGGAGCTACATAGAGCGGCGGTGCACCATCTGGTTGGAAATTAATGTAATCTTCATTATGATTAACGTCGTTTTCTATTATTTCGGTAATTTGTTAGTCTATGGTATTTTCTAACATGTCTAAGTACGTCTTGGCCGCCAAGTTTCCAGGAATAAAGAAGGGTTTTTAATATGATTTCCGAAAATGCCGGCACACACATTTATTTTTTCGGGATATTGCAAGTGTCTCGAAACAAATGTGGACTCGAGCTACATCAATATCGGCAATTATGTTGATTTACAACACCATGTAAGTAGAACGTACACTCATCCGAGAAACAAATATTAAATAACAGATTTGCTTTGTTGATTAAATGCTGGGACATTAATTCTCAAAACTTCTACCTTCTATCAAACTCGTGTTGATTACGCTCAGTGAAAAGTTTTATTTTGTACGCATGAAATTTAAAATAATAATAATAATAATAATAATAATAATAATAATAATAATAATAATAATAATAATAAGCTCCACAGAAATCCAACCCCTCTTCCGGAGCAAGAAGTCAAGCATTAGCTCCAAGTGTGGAGCGGGCAGCGGCACAAAGAACATCAGTGTGCATAATTCTGGCGAACGGGGCTCTGGTAAGATATATCCACGATGTCAGGTAAAACTACGAAACAGATACCCCAGGTAGGTAGAGCCGCTAGCTCAGAATCCTACACTGCACTTGCAGTCAGTCCCGCGGATTCTGGGGGGGACACCTTGACATTAGGAGCTACAAACGCCCCAGCAAGGACAGCGTTTTGTAATGGAAATCAGCAACCACCAAATCAACGGCTAAGGGGCTCGCGGAACATTAGCCTGCGAAAACCTTACTCAGAACTACCTCCAGCACAAGACCTACATCCCACAGATTCAGTTCAAAGGGACAGTCTTGAAGCACGACCTGATCAGATGAATAATCTTAGAAGACGAAGATGGTCAAAGGAGGAGAACTATGAAGTGATGTGGGCATACTACAGTGCGATTGCAAGTAAAATCGCAGCTCCAAAAACAAGAGGCACTTTCGAGATCTGGAGAAATCGTAATCCAAATATTATGCCAGAAATGAACGCACAAAAACTGTCAAACCAGCGACGTGTAATAGAAAGGAATTTAACGGAAGCAGAACGACAGGAAATAAAATGCGGTGTGTATTCGTACCTTCACCAGCAAGAAAATGAACCTACACTGCCACCTGCTACCATAGAGAGTAATAAAGGAGAGCTAGCTGAGAATAACAACACTCCTATAGCGACTAAGAATGACGAATTATCTGAGAATAACGATGCCAGGTGGCATGCTCAGGGTGAGGCAGTTGAACTGGAAAAACAGATTCTTGAAAAATATCATGATGTGCAGGCTACTCGGATTGAACACCGTAAAGGGATAAAAAAACCAAAGTATGGTAAACACCTGACCGAAGATATTAGAAAAGCGAATAGAGCACTAGGTAAAATCTGCAGAGATAGACAGTTAACAATAACTGATCTCAATCATCTAATATATGCTTCTGCAGCTATAATAGCGGGAGAGGAAGAGAATAACAACAGCCCTAGGACTAAAGAAGGACCTGAAGGCCCCCGATGGAAGATGCGCCTAAAGAACAAAATTTCGCAAATTCGCCAAGAAATATCCATTTTAAGCGAAATAAATAAGGGGGTAGTTTTCAGTCATGTTTTAAATAAAGCTGACCGAATAAGGGCTAAGTATAGCCATTCATCGCTTGGTGACCTAATAAACACACTAAAAATGAAGTTGCAAGCGAAGGCTCAGAGATTGCGGCGATATACAAGACGTGTCGATCAGTACAAACAGAATAGGCTATTCCAAGCAAATCCCAAGAAATTTTACAGGAGTCTAAAGGAAGAAGTACAGGTACAAGAACCACCATCAAAAGAAGATGTCGACTCATTTTGGAGAGACATATTAGAGCAGGAGATACCTCACAACAAAAAAGCTGCCTGGATTGAGCAAGAAAGGCGAAACAACAGCCAAATTGTCACCTCTCAATGGCATGACTATACCGAAGACGAAGTTAAGGAAGTCATTAGGTGTTTGCAAAATTGGAAAGCACCAGGGCCAGATAAGATCTGTAACTTCTGGATAAAATCCTTCAATGCACTCCACTGTCAGCTGGCTGTTGCTATGAGCAATTTGACCAAACATCCTAACAACACTCCGCAATGGTTGACAACTGGTATCACATATTTGCTGTACAAAGGCAAAAATTCTAAAGAGGCAAAAAATTATCGTCCAATTACCTGCTTACCCACACTGTATAAGGTTCTTACTTCACTTATTTCTAATAGACTATATGACCATCTGTCCTCTAACAACATTCTACCGTCAGAACAAAAAGGCTGCCGTCGATCAACTCAAGGCTGCAAGGATCAGTTACTCATAGACAAAATGTTAGTTGAAGATGCCAAGAAGAGAAAACGAAATCTAAGCATGGCCTGGATAGACTACGCCAAGGCATTCGACAGTATACCTCATAGTTGGATCCTTGAAGCTCTGAGTTTATATGGAGTTAATCCGATTGTTGTGAAGTTCCTCGAATCATCTATGAAGAAGTGGAATACCGAATTACAGCTGCATCACGCTGAAGGGTGCCTCAAAACTGATAAAATAAGAATCCGCAGAGGGATATTCCAAGGAGACTCCTTGTCACCGCTGCTATTCTGCATCTCCCTGGTTCCACTGACTAACGCTCTGAATTCTGGAAAACTTGGATACGAGGTCAGGCAGGGTTCCTATATAAGTCACCTATTATATATGGATGACCTCAAGTTATTCGCATCCAGCAACAAGCAGCTAGATAGAGAGCTAGACATTGTGAAGCGGTTTAGTGAGGACATATGCATGCAGTTAGGCCTGGAAAAATGTAAAAGGATCACGATTACCAGAGGAAAGATCTCAATGAATGTAAACCAAATAACTGAAAATAGTGCAGGATTTGACTACCTTGATCTAAGTGAAACCTATAAATATCTTGGCGTACATGAAAGTGACGAGGTACATCATGAATCTATGAAAGAAAATGTGAAGAAGGAATACTATGGTGGGTTAAGGCGAATCTTGAGAACAGAACTGAGCGCCGAAAATAAAATAAAGGCAGTCAACAGTCTTGCTGTACCGGTAATGCAGTATAGCTTTGGAATATTGAACTGGAGCGGATCAGACATCGAAAAAATAGATAGAAAAACCAGGAAACTGTTAACCATCTATAAGTTTCATCACCCCAAAGCTGACAAAGACCGACTCTATATTCCAAGGCGCGATGGTGGCAGAGGTTTAATTGAACTCTGCAGTGCCTACAGGATGACAATTGCCGGCCTTTATGAGTATATACTCCATTCCAACGACAAGTTCATCAAGTTAGTGCTATTGCATGAGCAACAAAAGGCTAAATACTCCATTACAAAGATCGGGGCAGCCATGAAAAGACAATATGCATACCAACTGAACGAAGATCAGTCAGCGGACAACTTGAAACTCAGAGTAAAGGAGGCCATGCGAACAGAAAAAGTCAACGCCCTAAAATCGAAACCACTCCATGGACAGTTCTACAATAACCTACACAAAACCAATGTAGATAAACACATGTCCCTGGATTGGATGAAAAGTACAGGACTGAAGGCGGAGACTGAAAGTCTACTGATTGCTGCACAGGACCAGGCACTTAACACGCGCTACCATAGAAGAATGGTCCTGAAACAGAATGTCGACAGCAAATGCAGAATATGCCATCAATGTGAGGAACATATAAGCCACATTATTTCAGGCTGCTCAACACTGGCACCAACAGAATACACCGAAAGGCACAACAACGTCGCTAAATACATACACTGGGCTATCCTCAAGCAGCACCAAGTACCAGTTAGCAACAACTGGTATGATCATTCTCCTGAAGCAGCAGTAGAGACAGACGAAGCATTAATTATGTACGACAAAGGAGTCATTACCGACCGTACGATTTCCGCCAACCGACCTGATATTATTTACCATAATAAAACACAGAACACATGTCTGCTAATTGAGGTATCTGTACCAGACGACAACAACGTCAGCACCAAAGAAGCGGAAAAGGCCAGAAAATACAAAGACCTCGAAATCGAAATATCGCGCATGTGGAAGACAAAGACAAGAACGGTACCCGTGATCATCGGAGCTTTGGGGACTGCCACTATGTCATTCAAGAACAACATAAAAGAACTCCCCGGAGATGTCTTTGCAACACAAGTTCAAAAGATAGCACTGCTAGGAACAGCCCACATTTTGCGGAAAACCCTTTCCGACTAAAGACCTTAGAACTCAGGCAGAGTTCCGGTCAAGCTCATCTCTTCCTCTAGGAGTGAAATACAGAATAATAATAATAATAATAATAATAATAATAATAATAATGCCTTTATTAACTGCAGTGAGGCGAAGTTTAGCCAGACGGCTGCTCTTACACTCAACCCCACAACAGGAAAAAATAATACTTAAACACATAAGAGAGTTTTAAATTTGAAACAAAAATAGTAGAAAATAGTCAAACAAAAAAAATAAAAAAAAATTACATGAGCACAAGAAAAACTGAACTAAATGGACTCCAACAGCTGACTTTTCATTAATTCCTTAAAAGAAACAACCTGTTTGGATCGATAGCCACTGTTGACTGCATTGTAATGCTTGACAGCATTATAGGTGTAACTTCTTTCAAAGACCGAGGTATTGTGAGGAGGCATGTTAAAATTAGCATTAAATCTAAGAGCTCTGGTAACAAAACTACCTCGGTGAACTAATTTGCTAGCGAGGTAACCTGGACTGTTAAATAGTAGAACTTTATGCGTGAAGACGGTCAAAAGATATAAAAATAACTTATCAATTCGCAACCAGTTGAGTTCCTTGATTTTATCTGAGACGCAACTAAACTTGCGCAATCCAAAAATAAACCAACAACAGCTGTTCTGAATTTTCTGGAGTTTCCTTTTGTGGACGTAGTATTGTCTTAGAAATACTTTTTACAGCTGAGCGTGTTAATCCTGAAGAAGTAGTCAATCCAGAAATGCTCTGTGTGTGGTCAAGTGCTGGGGGTCCCAAAACTGCTATTTCTGCGGCTTCATTTCTAACTGGTCGATTTTCTCGATGGCGATTACGGCGAATATTAGACACAAGTCCAGTTTCGCCAAATTTTCTCATCAACTTAGCCACATTAGTATTTTTGTCTCGATGTAACGCATTAAACAATTAGGCAGTAGCTCCTGCAATGCTCTCATTTTGGTATTTCTACCCTTTTTTAAATTGATTATGTCATTTTTCAATATTTATCACACCTAGGTAGGTAACTTAACAATTTGAAATGGAAGACAAATTTTACCTACGACATACGTTGACACTGACTGATGTTTTTGCTGGTATCCATGATTATTATTTTTTGCCGTGCGTCCCATTATTATCCGTATTGTTAATCGAATTTTATTATAAACTCAAATAGCTTCACAACAATTCAAGTTAGGTATAAACTCTATTTATGAATACAAAAGTTACTAAAAACTTAAATTAAATTTAAAGGTTTAAAAAATTAGGGTTCCCAATTAAAAATGTCAAGCGTAACGCAATATCTTATTTTTGGATAACCCTGTACTGTACGGCTATAGATAAAAAGACGTCCTCTAAAAATCAAAGTTGACGTGCCTGAGCGTTGCTCCCAAAATATACCAGGAGAGTCACAAATGGGGGTGCGACCTATTCGTTGGGCTAGCCACCTTGTCTAATACCTCATTCACTTCTAGATTAGTTTTACTTTCGATCCTTTCTCTACGAAAAGGCTTTGGACATATTATTCTTATCATTTTTAACTTGTTTCTAACTGATGGGTTATGCCTAAGAAATATATATTGAAAAATAAAATTTAAAAAAAAATCGTACGTCTTTTCTGTCATGGATAGGTAGACTTTTTTCTAGCATGCCTCGAAGAAGGTATTGGATATAACTTGAAAAAAATTACCCTGATTTCCTGAAAGGAGTCAATCGCTCAATAAGAAGAAGCCATATATTCTATCTGGATGCAGTTATTTTGAATGGTTTTATCGCTATAGAAGCAGAAACTTCTGAATAAAAATGTTAACTTTTGAACTGCTCGCCTTGCATCTCTCAACGAAGCCGCCCTTCGAAAATCGGCAAAAGACCAAAGAATCACCTCTTCAATTTTTCTCAGTGCTTTAGTAACATCCTGTATGATTAAACATTGTTCTAACAATATCTTGGCCACTATGCTTTACCTTAAGCCTCATTGTGCCGAAGAGAAAAGTGATTTGTACGGTAACAATATGCAATCTGTGGCTCGGATGCGGGCACAACGGCGCAAGAACCCTTGTTTCTGCTCGTCAAACATTCTAATAACAAATTGGATGCATTGTATACTCTCCTTTATGGTCGTGTCGGAGGCAGAACACACACATACAAGTGCCGAGATTACTTTTAGAATGTTGGAGTGAATGGAGTCACATGCAGATCGTATAATTTTCTCTTGGAAAAATCTAGACAGTCCACATAACGTGGGTCTTGTTTGAAATTTGTGTATAGGGTCAGTGTTTGTAACATTGTAATTCATTTTACAGTGGAAATTTCCAGGAGCAGAATGTAGATCGTGTATAGCTCATATATACCTTTTTAACATCGAAAAAAGAATGTCTCTGAAGTGGATAAATATTTCGGTTTAAAACTATGTAGATCCTTCATGCAGTACTAACTCCAAGTATATACATACATTTTTAGGACCCCAATCACACCAGTGGAATGAAAGTTGCTCTAGCATCAGTGAAAGGCGTTCTGTTATTAAGAAGCCTCCGCACGGGTATTATGTAAAAAACTTGTAAAACGTAAAAAAACCTATAAAATGTCATCTCGCAGACTAGGTAGTTTTTAGGGTGCAAAGAGTCATTCGTTTGCTCACTAGGATCGTTGGGAGCGTCCATCTATGGAGAAATGACTCAACTACACTACACGCACTGTTGGTTGCATAAGTGTTGTGAAGCCGAGTAATTTGCAGCTGTCATCTCTAAGAAGAAAGTTGGTTGAACAGCGTGTGTATAAAATCAATGATATTTACTGTGTAAGAAAATCATTACTAAATATGCTGCCAATAAAGTATATCTATTAGTTGTTCCCGACGGGTTATTTATATGATGCTCTTTCTGAAGACAGGTTATGTTCAACGTTATAAATAACGATTTTTTACATTTTATTACGGGAAATCACCACTCCGCCCGCGTTGTGTGTAATTACTGTTAGCATGTACAGGTATATGACTTGTAATTCAACAGTTGTACAGTGAATATAATTATGTCTTATCTCTCTCATTTTTGAAATTCAGCAAATTTGCATATCTAATTTCCAGACTGGACAAGAAAAAGTGGATGCGCAACTAATTTCTAGCTTTGAATCTGAAGTAAGTGTATTTGAGACCATAATCCAATGGAATTATCATCAACACATACATTAGCATAGAAATCCTCACTATGCACCTATGACTTGCTTATTCCATCTCTGAAGCAGATTATACATCATCACATCAGAGCCAAACATTGATAATTGAAGCCTCATCACGTTTAGGCAACATGCATAACTGTAAAAAGAGTTCACAGCGTGTACATCAACTAGTGATAAGTTAACATCTTGTAGAAAAACGTTCATAATATCACAAAAAACCAATTAAAAAAACAATTCAATTTCACTTCTCAAGATAAGTAATACCCGTGCCGATATCGATAATATTATGTAGGTATCTACTAGACATAATAGTCATACACACGTTAAATTAAAATTGTCACTGCTACTTGAAAATGACATATTATGGTTTTTGGATGTAATATGAGATGTGTATCACGAAAAACCACGTCACTCATTTCAGTTGGTCCGTCTATCCGCTAATCCTTTGACCGCCGACAACTTGGGAAGTTCGACTTGGATATGGACGAAAATTTCAAACAAGGTCACTACTATGCTGAGGATGAAAAATTGTTGATAGTAAATCGGTCCAGTGGGACCGGAACGAGAAGCAAAATCATGAATGCATATAAATCGCTCAAAGTTCGTTTTTCGGAGTTTCAGAGGCCCCTGATCATTTTCAGAAATTTTTTTGTCAGGAGTTCTGGGGTTGACGGTCGTAGGGGGTGGTGGTAGGGTATATCAAATTTTTTTGATGTTAATACATCTACTCGCTCCCAACCCCGGTAATTCTATGCACCTATTAGCCATATTTCATACATCATAGATTTCCGAGTACATTGAAATAGAATGATTGGGAAATGTTTTCGATCAGCATAATCCTCGCATCTAAGCCGACCACCTGGCGTGTCAGTCTGGCTGACTAATCTGACCGTACTGCGGCGCACACAACATATACACGAAATGGATGACAATGACGGTAACTTGCGGTACGGAAGGGAAATAATGTCTATGGATTTAATTAATGTAGGGACCTGTTGAAGTTAAACTGATCTGATTTTTCTGCCGTACATGTTCGTAACTGACTTTTCTAAGACGATTTTATATGCGATGAACTTAATTCTTTACGAACTGAAGACAGCGTTGGGCAGGAAGTGCAGATCCCGCCTACTTGTCATTTTATATGTATATGGTACTTTTCAAAGCAGTTGAACCAAAATGTGGGTGCTGAATGTTTCACTAACAAATGCTTCTTCATCCTAACTTGAGCGCAGGTTTTTGAACATCCATCCCATCTGGGTCAATTTTGTGTTATCAAGCAACAATTTTACATAAAAAGCATGAGTAATTTTTCTTTGTGATCGGACAGAAATGAGATGCAGCAAGGAATTAACAACACACTTGGATTAACGTATACATCAAAACAATAGACTGATCCTTAATCGTACGTATGTAATAAGAAAGACGTATAAGTGCCTACTTCTCCATTTCAAAGAGATATAAAGAAGCAATTTGCAATAAATCCTGCCATGCGTAATTTTTATCTGTACAAATACAATTCGTTTTGTATATAATAATTGTTGTATTATCAGGACGAGCATCTCAATGGAAAAAGATTAAAATCCGACAAGTTAATGCATCTGTCAGTTGACGTTCTTTTATTTCAAGCTAAGAGTTAATTGCTGCGTAAGTGGAGGTTGTTGGCTTGTGCTTCAGATATAGAAAAATCGCTAAAGGTGGCTCGTCATCCAGTTTTACATTGACAAACCAATTGAAGGTATTTCTTGCTAGAAGAGCTGCGTAAGCGATCCTATGCGAATTCAGCAACACATTTATTTTGTTCAAAAATGGTATGACAAGCATACCTTACGAACGTCAAAGGCTGACACAAAAAGTGTCAAAACGTAATAGAAGTATGCGTCATTTCTAAGCTCAAAATCCCTGTTGATCTGATATATGAAGCGTCTCAGATCAGTGGCGGCGGATCACCAATAGCATCAAGGCTTTCTAATAAAGAAATGTCATCAATTTGATTAGTCGATTAGTCATATAAAGTATTGGTGGTGTAATCGAAGAAGCAATAATAAAGAAAGGTCAAGATTATTCTAGGTGTGTTATCTTTGTACAGAGGTGATCCTGCCAAAATGAATGGCATCCTGGCAAATTTAGACCATTCGTCAAATACGACTGTGCGATTGGTTGAGATACCCAGTATGTCTCAAGAGCATCAAAATGTCCCAAAAAGGCAGGGTCTCCAGGCAGTGAAGTTAAAGGAAAGTCCGCTACAAGTTTTGAC